ATGACCTTACTGAGTGGACACTGCGCACACTCTTTGTTGGGAACACACTGTGTTTGCAACTCGTAAGGCAGAGATGGCGTCAGATTCCATAAAACACATTCTTTGTTGTTTTTAGACTGTTGCTGTGGAGGAAAAGAGTACAAAATTAGGTGGAACAAGCAAGTAAATTCACATCAGGTAATGGGCCTGTAGCAAACTTTACTAAAAGTCCTACATTTTTACTACTAGACAAGTAAAGTTAGTCAAAACAAACTTAGTGGGATTGAAAACCTAGATTGAAAATTTTGAAAAGGTGTAAAAAGTTTTTACAGACAGAAAGATACAACGGCAGATAGAATGTATTCTTAACTATACTTCACCCTTGTTTTTTCACACTGTGGTAGCCCACCACACCACTACTCTGTTCTGTACCAAACCGTCCATATTATCAGCTGACTTGCATTCTACTCAGTTCCAGTGTGTTATACCACACTGTAATATGCCGCAGAACTAGATACTTTCAACAGCTTTAGCTTACCAGCTCAAGACCCTTGGGCTAATGTATAGTATATAGGTCACCTATGCACAAAATTGCCATCCATAAATATATTTTAAATGAACTCCAACGACCAAGCAATAAACATCCTGCATACCATTTTCCTAAAATAAGAGGACAACATGAAACAGTCTTTTGCAGTCTCATACAATAATGAGACATGAAGAGATTATTTCCATCTTAATGGCTACTCTTAAAACGGAAGTTAAGCACATTACATCATGGGTTGCAGTATGCCAATGAGTGTGCTATAATTGTACACTCTCAGAAAAAAAAGTTGTCACTTGGGGCGGTAGTATTTAAAAAGTTGCTATATACGTACCATTTATGTACTAATTTGTACACTCAAAGTACTTATATGCACCTTTTACGGGTTAATATAGTGCAGAGGTTTGGGAAAAGGTACACACTCTATTACTATAACCTTTACACCAGGATCTGAAATTAATCAGGGTTTAGGGGGAAAAATGCCAAAGATATTCATAAATCGAGAGCAAAAAAGAAAAGCCACCTTTTTATACTCATCTGACAAATTATTTACCATGTGTGTCAGCTATAATTTTTTTTCATAGTTATCAGTCATAATTATTTACGAGTATTTTTACTATGAGAATATCACTATGAATTAATTATGAGAATATATTTCAAATTATTAAGTAAGTGGATGTCAGAATGTGCAGTTATTTGTTTAGGAAATAAATAATAAATGCCTGACCTCTTGTCAGATGGCTGTTACTGACCTCTTTCCACTTTGTAGTGTTGAACTCTCTGTACTTAACAAGGAAGTTTTTAATATATTTGCTTTCAGTTCCCCACTCCACCCAAACAGTCAGATGGCCTGAGCTTCTTTTGTAAGTTAGTTTTGAATGA